GAATTGAAGATATCATCATGAAATGAACAAATCTGAGAGGTCTACCAAAGGTACATATACACCAAGTATCAAAACATTCAGGCTTGTAGTTTTCAAGAAGAAGTCGAAAAAGTAAAACATTGACACGGACGACGACGGACAATCACTCATATGATAAGCTTCGCTTGACGAAGTCGACAGAGGAGCTAATAAAAAAACCAACAAAACATGATCAGAAAAAAAGACGTCAAAGAAACCATACAAGTGTTTATATTTCAGCCATGCGAAAGTTTTAATGAGGAGCCATGATACCACATACATTTTGTTGGAAATAAACAAAATATGCGATAAAATAACTGAAATAACCTGCCCATGTTCTACGAAATGCATGTAAGCAGACCAAATATGCAACAACAGGCAGTTCCAATGAAATTACGAACGGTTACAAAGGGTTCGAAAAATTGATTTGGCGAAGAGACTGCTAGAAAATTGTACCGACAGTTCAATGTGTTCAAAAATTGTAGCGTGGACTAAAACTGCATTTAACGGCACGCTGAATATTGCAACATGAAAAATTTACCAAAAAACCGAAACAAGGACAGATAAGAACAATTAAACAGGCATTTTATGAAACTGGCGGAAAATGTTGAATACATTTTCAACGATTTCTACGGCGTCTACAAAAAAAGTGTTACGACTTTAAACAAAATGGCTGATACAGTGACGCGATAAAATTTACTCTAATAAGCCCCCAAATCGCACACAACCTTCATAAGTAACCACAGTAGTATACTAAATATTCATTTGGTAGTATTTTTTATAATATAATGTATTTTAAAATAGTGACTTAGGGGTTAGAATTTTTGTCACTTTTTCTTCCGGGACCCAAGCTTACTTTCATGACAACAGTGAAAACGATAAATGACGATTCTCAATTCTGAATGTTATCACAGTCACAAAGAGTACTCATCCGAAATGTACGTGTAGTTCTTCGTAGAGCTTGTGCGCTAAACGTGGATATTCTATCGAAAACGAGCATAAAATTTCAAATTCGCGGAACATCAAGTGATCGACACACAAATGAAACAAAATGGTGGGCCTTGAAATCTCAAGCAATAGAGGGCGTACACAGCGCGACACGCATCCTTGAAGGATTAGGCAGATTCACCCCTTTTTACAATAGCGTTTCCTAACCGTCTTTTTTAGTAACCATGGCCTAGACAAAAACAATTCAGTCTGCACATTATCCAAGAGCATCCAGGCACCTAGTGTCATTGAAATGCGATGAGTGATTCTTGAGATATCAGTTGACACATAGACAGTAAACAACCCCCATTGCGTGATTGTACATGGGAATCAATAACATTGACCTAATACAATTCAGCTAAGATTTCATACACCTATCTCATCAGGAAATGTATCTGCCCAATGATCAAGACGTACCAGTTCAGCTACAGGTGACTTTTTCCTTTGTTGTTTTTCAACTTGTATTTGCATTCTAGCCATGGGTCTAGCCTGTGCCAATGCTAACTTAGCTTCTTCTTGTAATCTAGCTTGTTTAACAGCAAAATCTTCACTTTCTTCTTGCTTCACTTCAGGTTTATCATCACATACAGGTGACTAAATCAAAAAATATGTTGAATGTCAGATTACATTGCATAACTGTACACTATGCTACACAATCTTAAGGTTGTCACAACTAGTTGTTAGGGGTCCCATACTATGCATAGCAACATATACACATTCAGGTCAAATGTACGTGTTTTCTATTTACACAAAATTTTAATGCATTTCAACGAACATGGTCGTTATGACCACCACCCTTCAACTTAACACAAATGCCCATGAATGGGACTTGATGTAATGGAGTAAGGCAATAACCGCAAACCACTCAAGAATATGGGTTGGATTTGTGAAAGTTATTATTATTACTCAGTATGCTACATAGCCTTGCTTTGAAACACAGTTGAACAACTCACATCATCAGGGACTGCTCATGTCATCAGACATCTATTTTTTAAAAGTGTGAAAAATTTGTACACAGAAATATCACTTAAATACAGGTCAAGTTGTTTTTTTTTCAAGTTAAAAACACAAACAATGCATGTTTAATTTTTATATATAACCATTATCATGGAACACGGTAGAAATGCATTATTGGATATATTTTCATACAGTGATTAGATAACTTTTGATGACAGTGAAGTAATAAAGAAATGGTAATCAGCTGTTTTGGGGAAAAATCTTATCAGAAGTGAAAGAAACCAACTAATCAAGTAATCTATCCCACTCATGATAGAAGTCAATGATCCTGAGCCATGTCTGCATATTGAGTATCTCATTCAAAATAAAATCTCATTTGCATATGCAAATGAGGGCAGCATTTTCTGGACTGAATTTGTTAATAGTCTACAGTAGGTATTACAATTAGTACTATTAATTAGGTAACTATACATTCAACCCCGACAACCGTGTCATAAGTGCATTACTCAATCACCAAACTCATCAGCATTTCAGTCTGTTTTAGCAATTGCAGACAAAGACAAATTCCAAATACACTTTCCCCTTTTCTTGACAATATTCTCATACTTTGCTACAATCAAATATCTTTACCTGAGGTGGTGTTAGTGTCTCTTTTGTGATAGGCTTGGGAGATTCCACAATATCATCCTCATCATTATTTTCACTATCACTCAGCGAATCATTCACAAAACATATTTGTAGATTCATGCCACTTTGTAATCTACTTGATAGTTTTTCTTTTCCTTTGCCATAAATGTCACCTTCTATGTCATCATCATCACCAGCCATTGCAAGTTTTCTCAAGATTTCTTCTCTGTTGTTTCTCTGATGCTGTATGAATGAGAACAGCATCATTAACTGTGTTATACTTTCTAAAAACCTCCGGATATAAGAAATTATTCTTAACGGAGGGTGGCACTCATGTTATAAGTTGACATGACTGGAAGATTTGTAAATTTTTAACTGCCTCAACAATCTTGTATAGTCTTACCAGTTTTGATTAAACTTGA